CAGAAGGCTTCAGGTCGTCAGAAGGCTTCAGGTCTTCAAGGCTTCAGTTCGTCAGCAGGGCTTCAAGGCTTCATGTCTTCAGAGGAAAGTCACCCGGGATTGCCAACACACTGCAAAACTACATATATAAAGTATCTAATTGAAGCACACATTTTTACGTGCTGCATTGATTACGAAAGCCAGCCGATAGGCTAGGCTTGAGCTCTTAGAGCGAACGAAGTGAGTTAAGGGGGTGTGGGGGGGGAGGGCGCGAAAAGGCACCTTTTGAAAGGGTGAACCCGGAGCTTGGTGGGGGAGAGCGCTCCAAAGCGAGGGTCAGAATCGCAGTGAAAATGGGGTCTGGTGATGTGAGTGATGCAATAGACGCCGAGTAGTGCACCATCAGCATCATGAAGGGGTCTGGAGACAATTTTTCTAGTCCTGAGCAGGGCATAGGGACTGTGAGCTTTGATCATACCAAGAAGGACCAAGCAACAAAGAGTGAACGCTCTGGGAGCGAACGGGTGAGTATGTCCAGTTGGGCGAGGTAGAGGCTTGGGGATAAGAGCGCCGCAAGAGGAGAAGCAAGAAAGCTGCAAGCGTTCAACACTTCATGCGGTGCTCCGATCTTGATCTCAATCGCAGTGATGCCAGCTCCACGAAACTACAAGCTTTCAACTATAGGTGCTTTGGGTTTTTTCCTCCAAGCCCTGCTCTCTCTAAAGGGCTTCGCATTGATGCACGATACCCAAAACACATTTCAACACAACCACAAAAGCCATTTCGGGATGTTTCTCCTGGTGTTGACTGACGTTTATTTTTTGCACGGATTCTCAAATAGACACCAACAGGGACGCTCCAGAAGGCGCCGCACCAAGCAAATCAAGAATACTAAAAACATTCAACACTTCATGCTGTGCTCCCATCTTCATCTACGTCGCAGTGATACCGGCTCCACGAAAACTACAACCATTCAAGAATAAGAATGAGTGCTCTCCCCTTTTTTCTCCCAGCCCTGCTCTTTATAGGGCTTCGCATTGATGCACGATGCCCGAAACACAATTGAAAACAACCAAAACCCACCTTTCGGGCATCCTTTTCCTGGCCTTCACCGACATTTATTTTGACACGGATTCTCAAATAGACCACCAAACACGGACGCTCCAGAGAGCACGGCGCCAGGAAAATCGAGAAAACCTAAAACAGTCAACGTGCTCCTATCTTCATCTACTCCACATTGATAGAAGCTTCACGAAAGCTACAGGCATTCTACAATAAGTGCTCCGCTATTTTTTCCTCCCAGTCTTGCACTACCATATTGGTCTCTCGCTGGCTGGCTTTCGCCCTCTCCTTTCTCAGGTGTATATGTGTGCACATTGTGCTTGCTTCCACTTTAAAGGACAGTGCTCGGTACGTTTCAGGTGGTGTAGTAGTTCCATTGCCCGCTGGCATGTCATTATCTGATTACGAGTGCGGTTCGCCAGGAGCTGTGTGGGAAGTCTCAGAGCTGCAAGGCTCTCATGGTGGGACACGGGAATTGCTGGCTTCGAAAGGATGTGGAGTTAACCAGCTGTATGCCCAGTCAGCACTTGGAACTTTGGAGCAGTGTCGAGAGAAAGAAACTCTTGAAGAGGATGAAGTTGAAGTTGTTGAAGAGGCTGAAGTTGTGAAGTGACCGTTGGGAAATGGGAATCTTGTCTTTGCCGCGTGAACCTTGAGGATTCTTTGGACACCGCCCTTGACAGATGGCACATTACCTTCACTCGTGGATTTCATGCCCCTTTGTTCATTCAAGAGTTCTCCGGCGGAGCGGCAACGCACACCCAGGGCAAAGGCCTTGGACCCGGACTTTATTTGTCTCCAAGCCTCGGTCGGATTTCGCAGAGCATAGATGGTGGAACATCAAAAGAACACGAAAACATGGGGCCATATTCGGGGACCTGCCTGGAACTAACCAGTTTCATCCAATTTCAGTGGTTTCCTCATTGGTTTGTCTGTTTTTGGCTTCTCTTTTTCCCTGCAACCATCCGTTCAGCCGTTTGATCGACTTGGAGACGCCTTGGCTCTTAGCTTGGCCAGTCTGAAGGGAGCTTCTTGTCACTGTCCAGGCGGACGAACATGGATCACCTTGGCATGACCAAAAGCATCCAAAAAGCATCCAAAAAGCATCCAAAAAGCATCCAAAAGTGTGTGACTTTGGCCTGGATGGGTCAAGGAACCGTATTACGACTCGACTGCCAAGACCGCAGGATTCTTTCCGCTCGATTCTTCTTTTCTAGAAATCGCCCTCCCAAGGAGAGCCACCGCAACCGCTCCGTGCACGGTTCGCCGCTGCACACTCGTCTGACCCATGACGAAAGAGACTTGACCGTCGCAAAAAACAAGGGGCAAGCAAGACAGGCTTATATATATATAGATTGACGCATAAGTTGAATTTGCAAGTGTACCTGGGGAGACTCTGCGAAGTAATTCAAGCCCAAAAAAACCTTTCAAATACACAAGGCAGTCTGGGAAGTGGAGATCAAGAATGAACATTTGCTTAGAACTGCACATGTATCAATCACAATGCCGGAGTTGATAGCGGCTAATACGGGGTTCGACAATGGGGGACCTGCTGCCGGAGCTTCAAGTGCTTCCCTGTCCTTGGGGAGAGACATGTCCAAGGGCCGGCTGCCGTCCGCAGGTTTTAAGTGGAGCAGAGGTCTTCCAGCATGGGCCCTGGCAACATCAACTCGCAGAAGACCAATGAGCCGATTTGGGGGGTTTCCCGGTGGCCCCAGATAGAACAATTTTTGCAGCATTGTTCGATTATGCGGCCCTCTTCAGTCAGACAGCTGCCGTGGGTTTGTACTTGCTAGTCCCTGATGCCTCCATTGCCTGTCCACAGCCCAAGGAATGCCATATTGACTGGACTAGGTACCAACTGCAACCTCCCATGCAACATCTCTTGTGTACCCTTTTTGTTGGGGGGCAGGTGATAAATATGTCTTAGTGCTGAGCTGGGTCACGAAGACAGAACTTTTAACTCGATCATCATCTTTGAACAATTGCCAGGAAGGGTGATATTGGCAATGCCCTCTTCATTGTCCACTCGGGCATGCTCAAGGCTGCCTTTCACTTTTTGCTGGGAGGTTGGTGCGGGCCTTCATTCACAATCCGAAATGTGATTTTCAACATGGCATCAATAATTGATTATGAATGAACGCTCCTCATGCATCCTCGTCCCTATCCCATACCCTTGCAGCAATCAAAAGCACAAGATAGCATTCAATCCGGTGGTGCTGGTCGTGTGAGCCCCTTCCGCCAAACAAACGTGCTATCCAAAGTTATTCTTGCTTGGGTAATGACAAGCATTTCCTCCGTTCTTGCACTAGCTTTCGCTCACTGTGATGCTCGTTGACCCCCAACAAGTTGACCTTGATATCGCCAGTGCTCTGAGACCTCGCTTTCTATTATCCTCGACCTGTCGCCTCGTCTCTCGAGCTGGACAGGTCGATCTGGGCAGCATCGAAGTGGTGCTCGGGGCACCCGGGACGAGTCGCAAGTGACTCACTCGACCCACTCGACGTCCACCCTGTCGACGAGAGTCGTGGGATGTGAGGTGAAGGAGAGGCATTCTTTTTGCGTACGGTGCGTGTCAGTCCAGCAGCTGTTCAACCTTTTTCCAACGGAGGGCCATTTAATTTTGGATTTTTTTTGTTTCCTTTTTTGGATTTTTTTTTGTTTTTCGTGGCTTCTGGCTTCTGTGGCTTCTGGCTTTTGTGGCTTTTGGCTTCTGTGGCTTCTGGCTTTTGTGGCTTTTGGCTTTCGTGGCTTTCGTGGCTTCTGTGGCTTTTGGCTTTTGTGGCTTTTGGCTTTTTGGCCTATCCATCTATCTGTCTATACCTATCTATCTATCTATCTATCTTTCTTTCTTTTTGGCAGCTGTTCTCCTTTCTCTTTTTGTATTTGCTTTTCCTGTTGTTTGCGTTGCAGAGACGAAACCAAACAAGGAAGCAAGCAAGCAAGCAAGCAAGCACGAGCTGCTCACCTTTGGATCTGGTGTGCTGCTGGGGGCGCAGCGCCCCCCCCCAACCCCCCCTGCGCCACGAAATCTGCACTTCATCCCCGACACCCGCGCCTGCCACGAAATCAATATTTTTAGGTGAACTCCCCGGTGCAAAACTTTCTAACCAAGCAAATATGCCTCCTCTATCTATCTATCTTATCTAATCTAATCTAATCTAATCAAAGCAAATCAAATCAAATCTAATCTATCTATCTATCTATCCACTTATCTTTCTATCTTTCTATCTTTCTGCAGTTCAACATCCACAAAGTACTGCACCTGCCACGAAATCTGCACTTCAAGGTCGACAAAGTCTTGCGCCTGCCACGAAATCTGCGCTCCAAGGCCCACAAAGTCCTGCACCTGCCACGAAATGTGCTTTGCAAGGTCCACAAAGTACTGCACCTGCCACGAAACACGAAAAACAAAAAAATCCAACAAAGAAAACAATCCAAAATTAAGTCGCGGCCCTTTTCCAACAAGTTTTGAACTTCTTGGGACGTTTGAAGTCATAACTAGGCTTCGCTTGGCTTTAGGCTTCGCTTGGGCGACGTCTTTGGGGAGCTGTCGCTGCTCTACGACGAGCCGCGGTCGGCTAGGGACCTCCCAGAGAGCAGGTGAAGCCAGGGTCGTGGGATGTTGTGGGCATCCCCCAAATTCATGGCTATAGGCTCTGGAAGGATTGGCATCTTTACGTGCTCGTAGCTGTCCACCCAGTATTAGAGGCTATGCCAGCGGCTATGCTACTTAAGGAGCCCAACTGAACATATGTCTTGATGGGTCTAGGACCACTTCCCCCGAAAGGGCGCCGGGCGGGAGACCCAGTCTCATTGCAGCACATTCCCAATTCACCTATTTCTCATTACTTTGAACATCTTAGTCCGGCAGCGTTGCCATTGGGGAACGACTGAAGGGAAGGGCTTAGGCATGACTTTTGAAGTTGCATTGCCATCGTGGCATGGGTTGCAGGCATCACTTAGGCATGACTTTGTTGAACCGCTGTTTGGAGAGTGTTGCAGCGGCTCCCCTGGGACACCATCCACGCCCAACCATCACCCTGAAGAGATTCTTGCGTGAGGGATTGTCAAAATGGCGGATGTAGTGGATGCCTCATGTGATTCCCACCCTTTCGTGAGCCTGAGGCCACCATCTTTGCGACGCGAGATTGTAGGCTGGACCAGGGTTTGATCTGCCGGTCAGCGACAAGTAAAGCTCCAAGGTTCAAGAGGAAACATAACGGGGGAAGGCACTCGCCTCAGGCAGTTGGGAATTTAATCCCAGTGGCCTGACCTGCTCTCTTCGACATGAACGATGATCCCAGACTGTCGCTTGGGTGCTTTCTTCCAGCGATTGAGGGGTGTGCGAGGTCCCACGCTGTTCTTCCGCAGGTTATGGGTCTTGCCACGCGCCGCCTTCAAGGCAGTGCGGCTGGGGGGCGGACAGCTACGTGGGCCAAGCAACTTGCACTCAATCCGCATGATTGGTTGTAGCTGCAGCGGCAAGGGCTGGAGCTGGAAGCATTGACAACCCAACACTCAGCCCTGGTTGCAAGTCGCACAACAAGCGGGCGAAATGCAAGTCATGCTAGCATTTTAGCGAAAGTGTCGGTTCTCCTCTTGGGGACCGTATGTGTTGGACCATCCTGATATTTCTACTGCATCAGTTCTGCCGTTGGACCAAATTCAACAGACACCGTGTGAGCTTCGTGGCCTCTGCTGAGCCTCACCATTTGCAGGAGATGCTACAGGAGACCACTCTGCATAAGATGAAGGAGCCACCCAGCAGCAGATGTTGTGTGCCGGCGGCGCCGAATGTTCAGATGACTGTTGTAGCTTATGCGTTGTCTCCCCATATCTTGAACACCGCGACAGGGATTTGACCCAAGGTACAGCATGATGCTGCGCAACGTTCCAAGCATCCAGCAGCAGGTCGGATTCTGCACTGTAGGCCAGACTTCAGACTTTAGACCAGAGATGATGCTTAGGGGAGGCACTGAGACTCTGAAGTCCAGCTGGTCACTGAAGAACACAGTGGGAAATGCATATAGAGTATATATATATATAGGTGACCCCGACCCTGTAACAGCCCACAAACTACTGTCGATGGTGGCTAAAAGCCTCAATCCCGACGGAAGACCCACTAGCAGGGGGCCTCTGATTTTGTGAGACTTCAACTTGGCCCACTGAGATCGACCTCTCCTTGATGTCTGTGCTGGCCGGTGCCGTCGAGGCCAGGGACGTGGCCATGGGAATTCGGAAGGCGCCGTTGACTTGTGCAAGACAACTCGGGGGCTTGTGACTCACCAGACGGCGACGGTGACCTGGTGCCCAACGTCTTGCGCCTTTCCATGTTCACAATGTGGTTCTACGGCATGGTGAACAGTTTTCTCTCTTGGTATCGTGTTAGCCACGTGAGCAACTGCATTGACTGGATTTGCATGGATGCAACGTGCACAACAAGCACAGGAGATCGTTCTCTACGAAGATGAGGTGGTCTGTGTGAAAGGCTGCTTGGCTGCTTGTTGCAATCGTGCAAGCCCACGCATGACCGTATAGACTAATGTTGACCCATTGACAGGCGAAGATGTTGGCAAGCTGTTCCTCCTTCAGTCAGGCGGTCGGAGGGTGATCTCAGTCGTCCGTGAGGGCAGCAGGGAGGTGGCGATCTTAGTCGGAGGTTCGTGGTGTCAGGGTGAATACGGGCTTGGCCGTGGAAGCGAAAGACCTCAAGGCCATCCCAGGCCTTCTTCAGCCCTGGGAGGATGCCCAAGAAAACTGTGACCTTGCCCGTTGGCCTGCTAGGCTTCTGCACGGTGGTTGATTGTGACGAGGAGAAAGAGCAGGAGGCCGAGGC